TATTCACTCAATGCAGCTAATTAAGTAAGAACATATATTTTGTAGACAAGAGGAACCCATTCAGCTGTTTCTTGAATGAAAGTTTCAGATGTCTTCCCACAACCTTGTATTTATAAATATGTCTCCCAGTTTTAAATACACTTCCCCAAACTGATTTGAATGAAGGCATGAGCAACTCCTCATGGTTATTCACAGCTAAAGAGTGATATTTCCATTTCAATTAATCTCTAATGCATACTTGCATAAATCCCCTGCTTACGTAGTCGCACATAAATTGCTAAACATTCAGAAACATAAGAACATAAAGAAGGTTACAAATGAGAGGATGTTTGGACCATCATGGCTGTTTGGTAGTTAGCTAATCGATCCAAAGATCATATCAGGCTGTTTCTTGAATGAAGCAGGGTTTGGCCTTCAATAGCTGGATTTGGGGTTAGGAGCAGGGCAGGCCACTTGTACAAAAATGTATTCAATTATATTATTTAAAGTTCAGGTGGAATAAAACACAAGACCAGGAGCTATGGTCACTGATTAAGACCAGTAGTCAGGGGCTTTTATGATTGGTTCTGAAGACTGATGGATGAAAAGTCACTTAATTGTTCACAACAGTACAGAGCATGTCTCTATTCAAAAGGTATGCTTCTCCAGGAGTGTAGGAATCGAGCAACTCAGGGACTTAAGAGCACAATTACTTAATTGAACCACTGATCTATATAAGAAGTGAAATTGCCTGGTTCTTAGGTTCTGTAAAACCTGCTGGACTGTGGGTATGAAAGACTGATTTTAAATTACCCCAGTTCTTGTATTTATGGACATGATAACATGTTGCAATGTGGTTCACTGGAAATTTAGAAACCCCTGATGCCGCATGATCAAGTTTATTTAGACAGCTTATTGGTTTTTTTATTCCTAAGATGGACAGGGACCATATTTTTACAAATGTGTATCAAAATGTAAAAGCTAATCTCTCAAAAACAGGGATTATGTTGACACAGTGGTGAGCATTGCTGCCTCACAGTGCTGGGGCCCTGGGTTCAATTTCGGACCTGGTGGCCTATCTGCATTGAGTTTGTATGGTCACCCCATGTTCATGCGGGTTTCCTCCAGGTGCTCTGGTTTCCTCCCACAGTCCAAAAACATTCTGGTAGGTTAATTAGCTTGTGGGAAAATTGGCCCTGGTGTAAGTCAGTGTCTGAGTCTGTGCACGCTCTGCGGTGGACTGGTGTCTAGTCCGGGGTGTATATCCTGTCTTGTGCCCGTTGTCTGGTGGGATAGGCTGCAGCTCCCCTTGACTCTGAATTGGAAAAGCAATTAGGAAATCGATGGATGATCTTGTGAAAATGGACTTTAAGATGCAATTTCTACCAGAGCTGGCATGTGAAGCAACACATTTGTTTTTGTTACCATATGTTTGTTCAAATAGTCTAAGTATTTAAGAAGATGTTTTCTAAATTAGTACCAAAGCTTCTGTTTCAATTCCAGTTAAAGAACTATCAAGACGTCCTTGCTCATAGGTGTACGTGACTCAAGTCACTGGAGAGTGTAGCACTGGAGGACTTAAAGACTGCAGGTGTGGTGGATGGTGTTGCAAAGAAAGCATCAGATGTGCTGTAGATGAACAATGTTTTGGGTTTATTTCTACTCTGAAATGCTTCTTTTGAGTATTTTCTTTTTCATTTTTCATGTGATTCAATTAGCTTTAGCCTCACATACCTTGTCTGGTGTACCATAGTACATCTGGAAAAGATTAAAAACAAATATTTTCTGATTTTAAAGAGAAGGACAACCACTTGCAAGACTGTCTGTCATAGGAAAACTCTTTCCCAAGAAAAGGACTTTCAATGGCATGCACTTCCTCAGAAGCAACCCTGAGGCCACAGAAAAATGGAATGGGGATCATACTGCACACTGCATATTTCTACAAAAAAGCAGACAGAAGAGCACTGAAGTGTGACAGATGCAGAACTTTGGTGTTACTTGCTGACCAACATTACGAGGTGTTAATTCAGGCTTTGTGGACACATATTAAAGACTCAAGGATTCCACATTGGTTGGGGCTATCTTCTCACTGACTCTGCAGAACACAAGGGCTACTCAAAGGTAATATGAAAATGCTGGGGTCAGAAATGGGCTAATATTCAGCAATACATCTCAAGCACTGCAATATTCTGAGACTTGGTTTTTCTTTTTCAACTAGGCCTCCTAGTTTAACAGCAATTTGACACCAAGTAATTTCCTGGCCTGAATTGTTGCATACAGCTTGTGTGAACTGAATTATTTTGCATCATAAAAAACACAGAGGGTAGTGTAGTAAAATCAAGTCCTGGTCATTCTCTTGATCACAGCAGTCCTAACATTTCAGTGTCAGGGTGGAAAAAAAAGACTGTTTTAACATACAAAAAATGTACAAAGTGTTTAGCTTGCTTCGGTCTGTTGAGTTGCCGAAGCTCTGAGGAGGAGGAAATTACAATGACGAAGGCCTGGTAACAGTTCTGTCCAAATGCAAGCCCACTCCAACCCATAATCTCCCATGCGAGTGCTGGGAGGTAGGGTGTTTTTCAGTTTCTGGCCTGTCTCATGTTATTTTGCCCTACAGTAGGTTGCATTTGTTCATCAGACCACAGAAGCAACAGATGTGACGGAGGTGACTTTGTTGTCATCAGCCCAGGGCTGGAGGTTCTGCAGGGCATAGAGGGAGGAGTTGTGTAGGCAGAGGGGGTCCTGCTGCAGGGGCTGAGTCAGAGTCTTCTGGAAGGCCTCCTGCTGCAGTTGTAGCATTAAGCGGTTAGCCTGCTGCCTCTCGGCCTCTCTCTCCTCAGCGGTCTGCCTCCTTTAGTGCCAGAAAAAAAGGAAAAGGAATGAGCTTCATTCATTTAGGCAGTTTCATTACAGTTTAATATATTAAATTACTATCTGTGTTTATTACATACTTATGTCTTAGTTATAACATAGTTATTACTATGCCTCCACAGGTCCCTTCAAAATCTTGCTCTCCTGAAAGATATAGGTGAAAGATATTAAAACACTAGAAAAGGAAAAGCTTTGTATTTTCTTTTTTAGTTAAC